AGTATTTAACTGAATTATTGGCACCCAGTTGGTGTCCAGAGAATTAGATAATTGGTTCTTGGTGTTGGAAAACACTCCAGAGTGACTTTATCTGAAAAAGTTAAGATGAGGTTATACTGGATTAGGGTGGGCCCTAAATCCAATATTGACTTGTGCCCTTAGAAAAAGGGAAAAATCTGGATATAGAGACAGACACACACACCATGTGAAGAGAGAGGCACAGATTGAAGTGATGTGTCTGCAAGCCAAGGAACACCAAGGATTGCTAGCAACCACCACAAGCTAGGAGAGAGGCATGGAACAGATCCTTCCCCAGAGCCTTTGGAGGGAGCATGGCCCTATCAGCACCTTGATTTTGGACTTCTAACTTCCAGAACTGTGAGATTATAAATTTCTGTTGTTTTAAGCCACCCAGTTTGTAGTAATTTGTTATAGCAGACCTAGGAAACGAATACAGTGACTGACTATATTTAGGGAAAGGGAGCCCTTAGGATGAATCAAAGGTTTGAAGACTAAGTAATTGGAAGAATGATATTCTACTGAAAGAAATGAAAGTCCAGAGGAGAAAGTGGCTGTAAGAAATGACTGTAATTTTATCAGTCCAATACAATCACAGGTTTATCAAATGGATGCCTTAGTGTTACACACACTACAACACAAAAGAGTTAAAGAAAAATCAAAAGAATACTGATGCAAGAATCAAAGCTGAAATTTTCCTTTTATCACCTTCTAGCCAAATTCAATGAACTCTCTTCAATAATCACGACCATTTACCTTTGATTCCTTTCTTTTCCTGTGGCTTCTATAACAAACACCATACTATAGCTTCTACTTCTATGACCATTCCTCTACTAAGTCCAGCTCCTCTTTCCAAGTCAACTTAGTTCTTAGTCCTTTTATTCTTCAACGGTTCTCAAAATCTCAAGTGTCTATACATCCCTAAGCTGAATTACTGATCTCCACGCTTTACATTCCATTATTTCTGGTAATCTACATGATATCTTCACTTAACAGTCTAGGACAGGACTTCCCTAGTGGTCCAGTGGTTAGGACTCTGTGCTTCCACTGCAGGGGGCACAGGTTTGATCCCTGGTCAGGGAAGTTCCACATGCTGCACAGTGCAGCCAAAATTAAAAAAAAAAAAAAAAAAAAGAGTCTAGGACATGTCTATATGGATGCACTACCATCAGTTCATACCTGACGTGTGTTTAGTCAAATGTATCTTCTCTTTCTACTCAACTGACACATGGTCTTTATTCCATCGTGACAACTCCTCGATATCCTCTCATAACTAAAATACTTCATATTTTTCTCTTTCTTCTTATTTAGCACTATATTCTGTTAATTTTTTCCTTTGGAATACTTCTAGGAGTCATCCTTCACCTTCATTCTATATTGCAAGCCCAAATTCCAGACTTCTTACCTCATTTTAAGATTATTATAAATAGCTTCCTGACTAGTCTCCCTGTCTTAAGGCTTTCTTCTCTCTAGCACAGTAGTTCTCAAACTTTAGTGTCCACACAGATCACATGGAAATGACTAATAGATTCTTTAGGTGCTGCATGCTATTTTATTTCTCCAATTAGATATGGTCATCAAGGGCAGGAATTAATCATGGCTCCTATTTTCCCCTCGGTGTATAACATAATGCCAGGCCACACAGCATATTCAATAGATATTTTATAACTTCAAGACTATGGTTCATTTCTTTCTCAAAACCGTTCATAACATCTAACCAAGAATTATTTCAGAGATATACCTTGGAATAAAAATAACAAGTTATCATTTCAAGTGCCTCAAAAGGAAAAGCACAACTCATTGTCCTCATACCAAGAGATCTCTCTTCATACTCACATTTCAACAGTGTGTGGGGAACAACATACAGAGAAGTCATCAATTACAGAAGGGCATTCCAACTCAAGATACCCGGTCCAACTTTTCCAAACAAATCAACACAGCAAAATATCATTACACAAAGACTCTACCTAAAAACACTTACCAGAAATGACATAATCTCTGTGCTTAGGAGGTTGGAGCTGTAAATGAAGCCATCTTACCTAGCCTGGGGGAAAAAAAAATAAAGCTGCTACTCCCCAGTTGTAAGAACCTCTCACAGGAAAGTAACTCTAAAGGACTATGATTTCTGCCCTAGAGTTAATATTTTGTGACTTAACTGAAGTCTTACTACACAAGAAAGTTATGATCTTTGTCATCTAAGAAACTTAAAAGTCTGTTGCAGGGCTTCCCTGGTGGCGCAGTGGTTGAGAGTCCGCCTCTGAATGCAGGGGACGCGGGTTCGCGCCCCAGTCTGGGAAGATCCCACATGCCGCGGAGCGCCTGGGCCCGTGAGCCATGGCCGCTGAGCCTGCGTGTCTGGAGCCTGTGCTCTGCGGCAGGGGAGGCCACGACAGTGAGAGGCCCGCGTACCGCAAAAAAAAAAAAAAAAAAAGTCTGTTGCAATTTTACGAATCATATTTATGTAATCTTATAGCCAACATTTTCATACAGAAGCATTATATTTAACTTGAATGGTAAAGGGTTTGAGTTTAAAAAATTAATTTTATAGTGATCATTCTGCCACAGGAAATAAGACTCATGTGGATTATGGTTATAATGAAGAGAAAAGCAGTAAAGTATCTCGAATCAAAGAAAGGGGGAAATTAAAAGAGTAACAGTACAGAAAAATCACAGGATTAAGAATAGAAAAATGTAGACTTCAGTCACAGCGTTCCTAACTAGTCAATGATCTTGGCTCCCTACCACTTCAGTTTCCAAATCTGTAAAAACTATCTGAATGCTAAGATCCCCCAGCCCTAAAATTATATATACTTATATACTTTTTACAGTATTTCTATGTCACATGCACTATCTGCTTTTCCACTTTAATTGAGGTAAAGTTGTAAGCCTATCGGGCAGTGCTCCACATGATGGGACAGCTCTGGGTCATAATTTTTACTGAATTGAGTTTAACAATTTCCTGCAACTTAAAATCATTATCCACAGATCACATTTTTAAAAGTAAAATAGGTGTTTACTATATTCACCCCCATCATTTGGCAGTTATTTCAGTAGGAAAATTATTCAACCTAGGTCAATACTGATGAAAGGTTACTTCACACGTTTCTTAAAATATCACCTCCTGGGCTTCCCTGGTAGCACAGTGGTTGAGAATCTGCCTGCCAATGCAGGGGACACGGGTTCGAGCCCTGGTCTGGGAAGATCCCACATGCCGCGGAGCAACAAAGCCTGTGAGCCAAAACAAGAGAGGCCGCGACAGTGAGAGGCCCGCGCACCGCGATGAAGAGTGGCCCCCGCTCGCATCAACTAGAGAAAGCCCGCGCACAGAAACGAAGACCCAACACAGCCAAAAATAAATAAATAAAAATAAAAATAAAAATCACCTCCTCCCCTTTCTGGTATACCTATGATTAGCTGATAATCTCTCTCACCACTGGATGTCACTTTTGCTCCAAAAGAAGTCAACCCAACCTAGCCTCAATAATTAGAATCTGATCTCTAAGACACTTATCTCTAAAACCCCAACATAAAAGTTTTTTTCTGTGAAAGATAAAATCAGCTCTTATAATTTCTTATGATTTCTAGCTAATCTGGCATCAGATACTTTTAGGCTTCAAACAATACAAGGAAGCATAAGTACGATTTCGGAGATCATCCCAAGCCATGAAATAACTTGACTAAAATCCCATCAATACCCATACACTGCTCAGTACTTATATGGATAGAAAGAAAGAGAAGTGATACAGGGGAAAAAAACCAATGAAACAACAACATAAGTATTTATATTTGAGTATAAAACGCTGGGATCCTATATAGTTAAGTGCTGTTTTCTAATCTCAACGTTATACTACTTTTAGCATAATGGAAAGAGAAAAGCAACATTCATAAACCAAGAAAGTGGGGAAGTAATGACTTTAAGACTTCTCATGTTGTCACTCCAACTATCAGGATGAATTTGGCAGTTATATCTAATAATGTAAACAGGTAACTAAAAACTGTGTCCTTGATTTCCAAATTCAGAATATGTAAATGATATACAGTTCTCTTCTCTTATGCAAATATGAACAGTCAACCTTACCAATAAACATACAAACATTAAGACACTGGTGTGCCTATGTCTAGAGGTACGAATTCCTCTCATTTCAGACCTTCTCACTTCCCCACAACCAATGCCACTACTAAAGGAACTTATCAAATGGAGACCTATCCAAATCATTTGTGGGATTTTTTTTTTAAATACTTCCTTCCCCTTCCCCCAATACATATGCGCCAATCTTACTAAAAATAACTGCTGAATCGCTGCCATGGAGAGCCATGGTTACTGATGGGGCTATGCTACATTCCTTGGGTTTGTTGAGTAGAAAAAAAGTTGTAAACCACTGATTTAGATGAATCATCTGGTTACATTAGTTCCATGATGCCCTGGATTAGTTCCAAGAAAACAAAGTTTTTAGGTTCTGGAGAAAATATGCCTGCAAAGATGAAACTTTAAAAAGATCATGGCTGTGGGAACTATCACGGCTGTTTCAGAAGCCAGGGGAGTCCTAGTTCCTTCTGCTGGGGCAATGAGATACTTGCTTCTATATTCCTGAGTTGGAAACAAAAAAGTATTGTAACCACAAAAACAATGTTACAAGTATTAGTTAAGCACAGTTGAAACAGGCCTAATCACCCTGTAATTTAAGCACTGAATGAGTTAAATGACACTTGTATGGGCTGGTCTAGAAACTTCATCAATGAAAACCACTGTCTCTGTGGAAAAATGCATACTCTGAAAAACTGACTTGTACACAACATTTAGAAATAAACCTGTTGAGCAGTTTGAATTTTCCCAATTTATCTTTACAAGGTGACAGCAAAATGTCATGTTTAAATATCAAACTGAACATACCCGTAAAGTCTCAGTTTTAATTATACATTTTATTCTCCTAATATAGTTATGCTTTTACTCTACAGAAATCACTTTAATGAGAACCACTTGCCTTTTTTTGGGCAATTGCAGCTCGCTGCAATTTCTCCTTAGCTTGATTATACTTTTCTTCTCTGTCAGTGATACGTTCATGAAGCCTATGCTTTTCTTCCAACCACTGTATCTGCTTCTCTTCCAATGCCCTGTCAGAAGAACGTATTCAAAACATGAGATGTTAACTCTTAGAAGAGACATTACCGCAAGTATAATCAAACTCACTACCTACTTCACACACGGCCTTCATAATCCAACACAGGCATTCC